TTAAAAGTAGATAACAAAAATTACTTCAATTAATTTTTAGAAATTATATTATTATTCTGTATTAAAGTTAAAAACAATGATACTAAAAGAAAAATGTAAATAAAAATCACATCTTATAGTATAAGAATACTATTCTTAAAATACTATTGAATTCCATCTTCCAAAATTAAGCTTTATGCCAAAATAGCTGTTCCAAATGTGACCGCACAATTTGACTAATAAACACAACATAAATTTTTATATTTTAAATATTTTTGGCACAAAAGATTCCTTGGAATTTCAAACAGTACCAATGCATGACAAAAATTAATGTTTAAACAAGCGTAATAAAAATGTGACATGACCCTGGAACCAACGGTGGTGCTGTTCTGCGAACATGTAGTCATTACCATCTCGGCTAGTACTATAAGCACATACAACTTAGTATTCTTAGAAGTCTTATATCCTAAGAACACTCTGTAGCCTTCGGTATATCCCATAATTCTTAGGGAGGGATAGAATGCAGCGAATGATTTATGTTCAGATATCATAGATGAAGACTTGCGTGGGATTTGATCTTGGAGTTGAAGTAGAATACTTCATTGAAATTCCTTCTGACACCTTTAATATTAAGAAATAAACTCATTCATTAAATTCAATTTTTTTTTAATGTTTTGCTGTTTACTTTATTATTATCATATTTGTTTTCGCTGTATTATTAAGCTTAAAACTATATCTAATACTTGAATCATTTTAAATTCAACATGTTTTCACCATCAATTCACCCATAACACAAATATATTTCCTGAATTGTTTGTAAGTAACTAATGTTTTACTATAAAACAAAAAAATCAGCAAAAATGAATTGTTTTAACAGTTTTTAACTTACTTGATCTAATTATATGAGCAATTTGGTGTTTAAATTAAATTGTTTAAGGAATTATCTAGGTCATTTACATCTTAAAGAAACTTAATTACAATTGTCAAGAAATCATAAGATTGGTGATAAATCGAAAAGAACTGGAAAAAAAGTGTAACTAGTAACCATTTGGTACGGTACAGTATGAATGCAAGTCCAGGACAAAAATGGATACACACATTTAAATAAAGGCCTAATGTTTTAGCAGGGGCTACCATTTTTCAAATGACAGCTAAACAAAATAATAACTAAAAACAAAAGAAAGCTTACATATAATATCATTATTTAATGTTATGCTTACTAATAAAACTAAGGAATATAAATCATGTTTGATAATTGAGACAAATTTTTAATATACGAATAATAAATAAACTAATATATCATTCCACAAGATGAGGAACTGTGTTTATGTATAATCTGTGTTTCTAACAAGGCTATATTAGTGATGTTTTTACAACTGATTTTTATATGTCCTTTTTTTACAACATCTAATACAATATATCATAGGACAATATATCATTACCAGTTAAGTCACAATTGCACACACAATACTTCTGAGTATTTTAAACTCAAGTTTTATAGAAGTTAAATGCATAAACAAATAATAAATCAAATATAATTTGGCACTTTTTCCTTTTTATAATGAATAAGTTATTATTCTGCATTAATTTTTTTCATATTTTAAAACTATTATTTGATTCCATAAACAATTGGATCGAAGTATTTGTAATAAAAGCAAGTTTCAAGAAATAAAAAAAACATTGGCATATCCACCGAGACAAGACTTGTTTATCATCAATGTAGCTATGAATGTAAATTATTGGAAATTTCAACCGAAGCAAAGAAAAAAATAAAATGCTTTTGAAATGAACAGTAGTGTTTTAAGTTGAGCAAGAAAGTAATGATAATATAAGGACTTAACGCTAAAATCTAGTATATGCAGGACACAAAAGAGAACTAGTGGTTATTTAACATTTAATTCTAAAAAAGAAATGGAAAAAGAGGGAAAATCATGTAGAAAATGGTTAGGTACAGAATTTACTAAGGATGGGCAAAACAGCCGATTAACAACCTGACTGACAATGACAGGCAAATTGTTTGAATTGAAGAAGGTACTATTAGATAATGATGTAGAATATGAAAGAAGGGCTGAATTTGTACACTACAATACATAACAGCATCATTCATTTGGAAAGAATAAGAATAATGAATCACTAAATTGAATATAAATCAATAGGCAATATAATAATTATAATATAACTATAACAATGTTATAAACTACTGAAATATTATTACTGTAATATTTAAACAACCATTATACACATTAATAACAAAATCAATAATAAACATAAGTTATAGCAGCAATTTAGAAATCATATACAATGGTCATCCATGCTTTTAACAGAAAGATGATGACATATTACAGGTATATAATAATATATACACTCAGTGATTTAAATATACATGCATTTACATTAACACATACAAAGCAATTCAGAACACTTAGGGATCAGGAACACATCATGAATTGCACCTGTTAAGCGATTTTGATTTGAATTTTCCCAGGTGCCCAAATACTCGGTGCCCCGTAACATGGTTAATGAAATTGGTAACTATTAAACTCCTGTTGCATCTTATCAGGGTTCCCATCAATCCAATTTGAAAAGCGCCTAGTTAATACATCCCTTAAGTAGCGCACACTTTTAAGAAACCGGTTCGAGAAGAAACCACTAATAATGGCTCTAAGTTGTTTCTCTGAAGGCTTCTTTGTTGAATTGAATACCAATAAACTTTAATCTTCTCTTCAAAAGGAAAGGAATACAAAACGAGCATTAGATATTCTACTTGTGTGTGCGCTTGTCTTAAGTGAGGAGATCAAATAAAACGCATTGTTAAACACATGCGCAGGTAAGTTTATTACCAGTTGATATTGATAAACAAAATTTCCCGGTTATTAAAGCTGAATATTTTAATTTGATAAGATGTACCATGCACACATCTAATGAGCTTAATCCGGTCTTTGCTTTTAAGTTAAGACGATGCAGGAATGGACCGGTAGCATGTCAAGAAAATTTGGTGGCTCTTTTGAACCGACTTCTAAATTGAATGTATCGGAAATCGGCATAATGAAACAATCATTTACCTTACAGACTCTGGCGTTCAAGTCTATTCGGAGGATTAATTTCTCATCCCTCAGAGGGGATGGCAAATGTACACGGATTTAAGGCTCTGGTAATTTGCTTTGAAAGCAAATTCAGCTCAAAGCTCTGGCACATTAAGCCATAGGACGGCGAGCTATGATAAATGGTTGCGTCGTCATTAACTGCGTCCATTCACCTAGTCGACTTGCCCGGCTGACCCCGTACACTAGCTCGTAAACCCACTGTTGCAAGCGGTTCTACTGCCACATGCCGCCAACTCTCGATTTATATTTTTTCCGTCTTCACTGATTAAAATTACTAGTTTTAGTAAAGCGATGTTTTTTTTTTTAGATTTGAATTCCAATATCTTTACAATTTTTTTGTACATTATTGCAATAATTATCATTATTTGAATGAGGTACACTACAAAAACCAAGCACGCAGAGGTCTTACAAAATAGTTAAGTATAATTGTAGTCATAAAAAGGAGAATTAAGGTTGTTTTCAATATGTTCAAGTGCCATTAAAATATTTACATTCTGTAATAATCTCAGACAATTTACATTTGTAGTTAGCTTTTATAGAAATATTAGAAAAATTATAATACTTTATTCAAAGATCCACAGTATCATATAATATTCTACGACATTAAAAATAATATATTCACTATGCATGTAATGTATGAAAACCTATCAACAATTAACAAAAAAAATTTTTACAAATTTTAAATCACTAAAATTTTCTCTTTTTGATATATGTATTTTTTTTTTCTTTTTGGTTTGTTTACATTATAGAATTTTTCAACTTGTTATTCCTCCTTTTTTATATAATAAGGTGATCCAAGTGCAAGCAGAAACTACTCTAGAGCAATTCCTATGGTCTAGAAAGTGCATTGGCAATATGTTTACTACAGTGCTGAATAATGTTAAATATAGGCATTACTATTTGTGGTTGCTGTTCCCATGCGATACTCCTAAGGCCTGTCCTTGTATCCTATTTAGCAATGCTTAGAATATATATATTTGGCTTAAAAATGTGATTAATCCAACACAAAATGCAGCTGACAACTTAACCAGATCTTTGGATCACACATATTTTTAGAATATTAAATCATATCAAAACTGATATTATAAAGATCAAAATAAATCAAATAATCTTATAAATGAACTTCATATTTCTGTGCATATTGGAAATTTATATCTAAGTAAGTGTACTATGGCTTTACTGTTTTAATAAAGATTTAAAATTAGATGACCTTATAACTGGATAATTCATTTTTTCTGTGAGTGCCTATATCTTTACACTAGTTTGTTTTTCATTATGAAAGCTACATTGTTCATTCCCCCTTATCTTTTCTTTATTGAAACACAAAAATTACTGTAACTATTGTGTACCTAATATTTTTTTATAAAATATATTTGGAATAAAGTTGCCTTTTAACAAAGATTTAAATAGGACTCGAACCTACTACTTCAAAATACTGTTCTGGAAAGATAGGACCGAGGCTATCTGGTAAGGCCTGTTATTTTGGGTTCTTATCTCAGGTTTGCCATTTGTTAAGTACTTGTTGGCTTATATACTGTATCTACATTGTCTCTTTCCTCCAACCTGGAGTGCGAGTAGCTTGTATGCTTTTGTTTGTACGCAAATGCCCTGATTACTAGTTGCAACACAATAGAGTACTGTGTATGGAACCATGTGTATAGGAACTGGATCCAATGTCTGGGTAAATAAATTGAAGCACATATAGTAAAAACCTTACCATTATGTAATTTTTAAGAACAGCTTAATATTTTCATATTACTAAACCAATTATTACATACTCTTACCTTAAAATACCTCAACACGCTAGACAAAAGAAAATAATTATAATCGTATGGTACAGTCAGTGGCAGACATCAGTCATTGTAACCGCTGAACTGATAGTCTAAAAATATTAAATTCAAGAAATGTTACACATACCTTGCATCCAGAAATCTGGAACGAAGAATCATAACCGCCTCACATGTACTCTGTTTCAATTGTACCTGAATTGCATTAAACTTCCGTTGGATAATGTTAACCATGCGTTCTATTTCTTTGGGTGCTATTGGCCGCGTTCGGCTCTGTTCTCGTAACAGATTCATAACATGCGTTGTAAATTCATTGCAAGCCTAGGAAGGGAAAAAATGTTAAAATCAATATAAAGTATTCAAAGATTTCAAAGGCTAATCAGTGTTGCCTAGTTCTTTTCACATTTAAATAAAAAGCATGGGGAAATAAAATGTTCAAGATTTTTATATTTTCCTAAACAGTTACTGCTATTAGAGGTTAAAGTTCAGTCTTGTAAAATGTCCTCAACATCAATCTGGTACCTAAACAAGGTTACTGAGGTCACTGTAGCGGCAAGAGCAATAAAAACAAAATATGACCAAAAAAACACTGCTAATAGATATTTGACTCTGCTACTAGTAAACACTGGAAATAAAGATTTCCAAATTCTCAAATATCATTTTCATGTTATTGATTTTATAATCATTTGAATCACATTTAAAGTGGCAGTTGTACTCTTCATATCCCAATTCTTATAAACTGTATCCTCCTTCAGTAAAAACACCCTGTACACCTCATTCTGTGATTGGTTAACAGAGAGTAGATATGGGAGTTATAGAATAAAATGACAGATGGCAGCATCACAAATCCCCATTGCTGCTAAGATATATTCCTCTAACAACTTTCTCTGACATTTTCACATAATTACCGCGGCAACAATGCCATGTAACTACACGTGTGCGACATTTTCTCCTAGGTTACCGACAGATATCAGGTGACAGTGTGATACTACTACTGGTACATGAAAATGTGCGAATTCCATGTCTTTTCCAGGTTTTCCATTAGCATTAAAATCCTGGTTTCAAGAAGTATCAAGATTACATTCTAAACAAAACCTACACCATACTTTTGAACACCTACTATTCATAAAATAAAGTTACAAGCATTTAATTTATGTTTTTAGAAGCAAACTCTGAGTTTTTATCACTTTATTGCATATTTTTAATATTCAAATTATGAATAATTACAAAAATGTTTTATTATATAAATAAAAAATATTCCTAATTATATTTACATGTTTGTATTTAATGATAGGTTTTGTTCACTGCATTTAAGGTTTACAGGGTATACCCCATGAAGTACTGCATTTTTGGAGGCCAAATTACTAATATTCTATATAGGAAACAAAGAATGACATACAGTAATTTATATAAAGAAAGTTTTAAGAAATGATTAGATATAAGCCCAGGGATGAAAGAAAAATGACAATAAAAAAGAAGGCTGATGGCAAACACTTTGAAAATCAGTGGTAGTACAGTAGGTTTTGTTGAGGCTACTAATGCAAAGATGCAGGATTTCACGCCAGAAAAAGATTTCTTGTTAGTATCGTTGGCCAAGGCACTTTGTCCACGTTGTCTCTTCCCACCCAGCAGCATAAAGCAGCTAGTGTTGAATGCCAATGAACTGATTATTAGCTGCAACAGTATGAAATACTTCCCCAGAGAGCTGAGTATGTGTTTCATAGGTGTTTGATCCAATGACCGGAGGAATAATGTGCAGCGTAGGGCAATGGCATTATGTGCTATAGAGACCAACATTATTATTAATTTAAGCGGGCTTATGGTTTATTAAATTTCATTTATTTAATTCAATTCAAATTAATTTTATTTGTGAGAGAGAAATTTACACTGAGAAAGAAATTGCTGAAAAAAACAAATTTAAAAAGAATAATATAAAATACCACAAAGGCAAAGATTGTGAAAAGATATCTGAATGTCTGTACAGTTGTTTGAAATGGAATCAAATAGTTTTTTTATTTATAAATTTTTTTTTTTAGTTGGCTCACTTTAAAATAAATCATCCTGTTTATCTTAATAATCTCTCCAAGTAACTGGCTATTCCGAAGCATGCCGACTTGCCCAGCTGTGAAGTGTACTGTGTTATTACACGTGCATGTTGCGAGATAGTCTCATAAGAGAGACAGAAAACTTTAGTGAAATTAGACACTCGTAATGTACTGTGCACCCATGCGCAAGAGCAAATACTGATGTTTAAAATTGTAACGCGTGTCAAGATGTTCGCTATCCAATACCACAGATTCTGGGTTCGTACCTTATAGGTGACAAACTTCAATTCCTAAGCATAATAGGATTTTAAAAGCATATTTTCGTCCTGTAATTTACATGTGTGCTCCCTATAAACAAAAAATAAAATAAAACAATTATCCATAACGTAGTAGAACAATGAGCAAAAAAAAATAAAAATATAAAGTTACCTGTTCATATTTATCTAGTTCTGTGTGATAGATTTGTCTAATCTGTGCTAGTTTAGCCCTGTAGTCACTGTGTTCAATCGCATTCTCTGGTTGCCCTGGGCCGCCACCTGATGCTGCTGCTGCTGCCGCAGCTGCAGCTGATCCTCCACCCTTCTCTGGGCCTGCAACCCCTTCTGCTATCAGCATGTTGTCTAAACGCATTAATTGTGGATCCGGTGGTTCTTCTTCTTGCGTTCCTCGGATACTTAATACTGTAAAACATAAACAATAGGAACATTAAATACAGATTACTATCAATTTGTTTATAAAATGCACCAAATTACAAGATCTATTTGGATTATGATATTACAATACTTTAATTTGCGATCATGTTTTGATGTAAAACCTTTGTTCAGCTATCTTGAGGAGTTCACGTGCACAGCTATGGGAAAAACTGTTTTGGCTGAATCTTGGCTATTAGTTTTGTAAAAAGTAAACACCAGTAATAGTTACCAATAAATTAAAATACATTAAATACATTAATAAATACATTGACTTTTATTTAACAATAATTATTTGCTTAAAGCATTTTAACTATAATACAATGGTTTTGAGACATTTTATATAATTATTCTATGTCATCTGTGTTAATATTAATGTTGCTATTAGTTTTGTAAAAAGTAAACACCGGTAATAGCTACCAGTAAATTAAAATACATTAAAAACATTAATAAATACATTGACTTTTATTTACAATAATTATTTGCTTAAAGCATTCTAACTATAATACAATGGTTTTGAGACATTTTATATAATTATTCCATGTCATTTGTGTTAAAAAAGGTGTTTATAATAATTCCCATTAATAAAATAAAATACATAAAAACATTTAATTTCAATTCAATTTAATTCAACTTTTATTTCGGATCAGTTTCGAAAGACAAGACAATCACAAGTGAAAAACAAGGCCCAGCACCAACAGTATATACAAACAATATATTTAAATATTACTTTATTTTATCTTTTTAATTAAAATTCAATTGATTTTTATAATATTAATCTAGGTTTTTTTTCTGCTTAAATTTCATTTTAATTTAATTAACTTGTTAACTTGTTTATACAAGCAACTTATTCATGCTTTATGGATGTTAGAATACACGGATTATAATGAGGTTGGCTTCATATTCTTGTTAACAGAAAGCTATAGTAATTGGAGAGAGCAAAACATTTTAACGAAGTCCAACAATTTATAAACAGAAGTTCAAATTACAGAATGATCAGGTGACCTAATAAATGCAGAATTTGCGATTCCTTTTCAACAACTCATACCACACCAAGAAGCAAAGTGAGATCATATTAAACATATAAAATGCTTAAACATTCTTTTCCAACCTACATAACATGGATTTAGAAAGTGACATTTGTAATATTGTTAATTGATAATATTTGTTATTAACTTGTTTAAAAAAGCCAATAGTGTGTAAAAAATGAAAAGCATGCAAATCTAGTAAAATAATTTACAAAAGGTAGTTTTTTTTTTCCTTTCAGTATCAGTAGTAGTAATCTATAATAAAATAATGTTAAATATTTCTCGTTACAGTACACTTCCATATTTAACAACAAATAAAAGAGTTGATATTACCTAGGTAAATACTAAATATTCTGGTTCATAGTATAAACAATAAAACTGACAACCAAACTGTTTCCAACACTATGATTTCTTTTTAGCCAGGATGCTTCACTCATCAACTCGGTATTCAGATAATCTATAATTTTTCCTTCAAAATTCTATAACACTAAAAAATAATTTATTTCATACCATAAAGATTTCAACCTAAAGCAAAGGTTTTGCCCTAAAAAGTACCCTCTACTCATTTTCTGACTGGGTCATAAATAATTTGGTAAACATGACACTAAAAACGTTACTGCTCGTATTTTTTACCGCCAATTACAACATGAGTGAGAGTCACTCAGAAAAACTCTGCAAAATCGTTGCTCTGTGTTTTTCTATTCCCTGATCCATGCACGGTTGTAGCACACGCGATCAAGCCTTAATCTTCAAGTTTATCCAGTTAATCCCTGCAATATGATCGTACCGTTTAAGATAGCAACTGCAATGTCTGCTCCAGTGCTGCTTAAGAAAGAGAGCCCCCATGTGGTCACCCCAAATGAAAAAGTTCACTGGAGGAATATGGCTATGAGCCAAGGCAGAGTGACTCATGCAGTAGCTTCACGACAAGGAGGATAAACTCTACGCCTCAATTCAACGAGTCACCATGGACATAAATTTGCACCAAGACACATTCAAATCAAAAATAAGTCTTTCCGAAAACCACATCAAAGCAAAACAAAACTCCTATTAATTTTTAATTAATAGCTCACATTTGTCATTTATGTTTTAACTTTAAAATAACTTAATTACAATTAATCAATTGTGAAATCCTATTTAAGTGTTTTACCAATCCAAACATCTTACATATCATCTTAAGTAATTTTAAGTTGTTTTTATTTAGTCAGACTTTTGATTTTAAACCAGATAAATTGGTTATTATCAAGGTTGCACCTGCTTAAAGTTGGAAAATATTTCATATTAATAAAAATAGTAGGAATAAAAAGAACAAAGTTGATTAAAAAAAAACTAAATAAAATATAGTTTTTGTTTTTTTTTACAGTGTCTTTTTTACAATTCTTTAAAAAAAATCTGCCGTAATATGTTCACTTAAAATATAAGTCCAACTATAATAGGCAATAAATATATTTATTTAGTTCAATACCTATCTTATTTATTAAGTTCTTTGAGAAACATTCACTGGTTGTTCTTTTCCCTAAGTGTTTTTTCTGTGCATTCAACTTCTTCATCTTCTCCAATTACATATTTTTACCTTACAAGAATTATGTAAAAATTACACATATGTGCAGTCTTAAACTCGCAAGGATTGAGTGAAGATTCCGATGATGCTGTTTTAATTAACCAGCTGACTCAAGATATTTAGCGGACAAAAGCACACGGACAGCAAAATCCTCTCAAGGTAGGATGGCCAATCCTAAATATACTGATAGGGAGTAAGTCCATCCATATCAAGTAGAAACATTGAATGCTTTATCAAGCATTTCTTAACTTGCATCAGTAATACATTCAAAAAAGTGTTTCTTTTAGAGTAAAAATAACTGTATGTTAATTATCCAAAAAGTTGCTAAACACATAACCTTAACACTTATTTATTAATATTATTATCATTTTTATTGTAAATATTGGTCAAATAAATAAATAAAATGATATTTAAAATGTTTTAAAAAAAATCTATTCAAAAAAATCTGATTCTTCTTTAAAATATTCTTTTTGAAGAAACATTTTTTGAAAAAGAAAGACATCATAAATAAAATTAATTTAATTTATTCTATTTGAACCATAAATGCTAAAATACTGTAGCAGGTTAACCTACATGCCCAAAGTAAGTGTCTAGAACAGAGCAAGTTTGACAACAGGTAATTTACAACATTGCTGGTCGTGGCTGACAACCAGGCCCAGCGAGCTGACAACTAGGCGTTTGATGAGAGAAAGTATGGCAGAGAAACATAACTAACCAACGTCTACTAACCAATCAGCTTTTCCTACATACAGCTCTAGGCCAGTACTTGGCTAACCCTACATTTTCCAGTCTGACCCAACTATGTCACTTGGCCTACATTTTCGATCACATGATAAGTTCTACATTCCCAAGCTCACATCTTGATACTGGTTCATTTTTTTCCCTGCTCAAAAATCAATGACTCAAGGCTAAAATAGAAAAACATAAAAATTTCACCCTGTGATAATCAACCCATTAGAAATATCCCATCGAGAAAATTGCCCAACAAGATAAAAATCCTCAATCGTCATTACCGACGGTAAATCGGAATAATTATTGCAATTCGAACATTTTTTCCTGAAACGACCCGCTCTATATTTCAAATGAAATCACCGATACTTACACTTAATTACTACGCACAAAAGGCAATTGATATGAGTACAAAGTTGGGTGTATATCAATAACATGTTGAAATAAGCTAAAAGAGAAAATACGTTGTATAGATTGACGATGAAAAGTAATATCTTGTTGAAGAAGCATGCTCAATTCTCCTAAAGGAAACATAACAATTTATATGGTTTACTGGTTAGATACAAATTTATGTAATGGTTCAGTTATTAATAATTCATTATTATCACTCTAAACCTATCATTTAAAGTGTTACTAACTATAATGAATACTTAAGAATGAATAATATCATAATAATCAAAGCCTACTGATTGATAATAAATTGTATTTCGAATTATTAATTAGATAATGAACTTATATAGGCCTACTTTGAATTTATGTATTGGGATAATCTAAACTTTAAAAAATTTTCTCATCCTCGATAAAAAAGGTATTTAAAATTCTAACATCAAATGAAATAAAATCTACAATACAATTAATCAGTTGCATCTAATATTGTAAGGTAAAAAATAGAATTATAATTGATAGCAATAAGGTAACTCATTAAATTTATAAAAGAAAACATTTTCAATTGCCTCCATCATAAATAAACCCTAGGCCTACATATTATAAATATTACTAATACTATTTATTATTTTGTAATACCAGCCACACTCTAACTATTCAGATAATGAACCATTGCACTTAATACTATTTTTATTAGTTGTTTATTTTTTAATTTGCACAGCTAATTAAAATACTTAAATTTATGATATAATGATGAAAATATAATAGTTACCATAAAAATGTGGTAGTTTATATGATTTTTATTTATTTTATTTGTTATTTAACATTCATAACATAATAATTTATATAACGCATCAACATATCTTCAATCAATAACAATATTTCAGAAGTAACAGCATTAATATGTCATTTTTATAATCATTTAGTAATGCTTTGAATCATTAAACATCATCAATCAACTACATAAGAAATTGCCATTTAAAAATTATTTTAACATGGTAATTTATGCTCCATGTTGTAATTATTAAAACTTACATTATCATAATAAGCAAATGAATTAATAATTATAATAAATGGCAATAGTTATTTTACTTGTACTCCCTTTCATTCATGTTCACTTGACCATATTAATGCAATGCATCATTATGATCTTCCATCAATAATATTTTAAAAATAATAATTCCATTAATATGTCATTTATATAATCATTTAGCGATGCTTTAAATCATTAACTGCAATCAATCAATCATATAATAATCATCATTTTCTGATAGTAAGTGACATCAAATTCCCTACTTTCCCCTTCATTTGTTCACCACCTTGTCAATACTTTGCAGTATTTTTTTCACATCTCTCTTCACAGATCCAACCATATACTGTAGTAGCATGATTTTGAACCAGAATGCTCCCTGGGTAAATATCCTCTAGAGTTTCTAACATGGAAAATGAGAATTTACGAGCCTACACACTAAAAATCCCATGCAATCCGCTGGAACAAAGACAGTGTAAATTTGCTTGAGAGGTGTAGCCTTTATTATCCAACATATTCTCCCTAAGGATAATTGAGTGAAGATCTCTGATAATTGAAATATCCACATCGAATCATTCTCATCCCACATTCTTACACCATCCCTAGGAACCTAACTGTAAATTTTGATTGTAAACCATTAATGATAACTCTCACTATAAAGCTGTCATATTAACTATTCACTTTTTAAATGCAGAATTTATGAAATTTAAAAGTGAAGGATTTCCTAATAGAAATATTTTTTTTTTAAATATAAAGAGGTTTTAGCCTTGAATGAATATGGAAATTGTCTTTCTCCAAACAATACAAGTCAAACCACTAGTGCTCACTTGCACATTCATTATAGTATAGTTTCATAGTAGTAGCTACATATTCTTAAGATTGTCTTTTTATGACCCTTCGATGATAATGAAAGGAAATGGCGAAAATGTTATGACTCTCGGCTATCATTACGAAAATTCATGTATATCTTTAAATGTGTGATAATGTATACGACTGCTAATGAAAACAGACACGGAACGCTGGGGGAAGATATGTGACAGGGAGATGGCAGCAAATTGAATAAAATATACTCACATTTTATGGATTATTAAAACATCTCGTACAAACATGATACTACGTTAAAATGCTGATGGATAGATAAATAAACACTTAAATAAGTGCACAGATGAATTACATTATTTATATCTAAGCGAGTTTGTAATCAATATAGTTACCATTGCTATTCACTTAAAGTGTACTTCATTTTACATGTCAAGTTTGATGCATTCAGAGAGATAAATGAAGTTGGACATGAACAAAATCAATGTTATTATATGAAATATGAACTAACACAAATGTTTTATTTCTCTCCCATGTTCAAAACTTCAAGGTTAGAGGATGTGTTTTGGTATATTAACATCGTTACTGAAAAGTGTGTGGTGATCCTTTGCGACTAATTAATTCACATAATGTTCCTCACTAATACGGCGTAACTCTATCATGTATCCGAATATAGCGTAACAAAAGATCATGTACCAATAGCCTAAAACTGATTTTTCATTTTCATCACTAATAAATTCATTTTCCTAACTGAAATGTGGGCTCATAATTACAAGGTGAATTTCCGAAGCGCATTTGACTGCCGTAATTTAACAATTATGAAACATGCTTGAATAGAGATACATTTTATGTTCTATTACATAAACTCTAGATCTATTTAAGTATAAAGACATTAAATTAAAAAATCATCAGGCTTTATGATTTTTTTCCATATTGGATCTACTGTATTTTTTTTAAATCAAAACAGAAATAATAATAACTTAAACAACACCTGAATCAAAATACTACACTAAATCAGGTAGAACTTTCTAACAGAAAAATCAATTATATTAATTTGTACTAACAATATAATTTTAGTCAAATATTCATATAAAAGAAGACAACTGTATTCAAGACTATTATGCTTCTATGTAAAAATCAATATTAATAATGTGCTGAATAGAGTCAAAATGGACTTTGAACTACTGTGAATATAAAATAAAGAACATAGAGGAATTTACATAAAGTAGATAGGTAGTGAAAAGCCCAAGGAAAAAGAGGAAAACACACAAGACACTTGAAACACTAGTCATGAATATAATATCTTTTTAGTGAAGTTTAAAAGCATTTATCTTTATTTTATATGATCTGAAAATAATTTTTTCTCTTTAAATATATCAAAAAATAAATAACTAAATAATTAAAAGAAATGCTTATAAACCAATTAGGAAAAACAGATAAAAAATAAGATACTGAAATAAATAGATTTTAAACATAACAACATAAAGAATAAATGACAACCTTGACAATGTGCAACAAAAATAAATTTATATTATAGTATATTATTAAAAAGACAAATTGAATAAACAAAACTTCTAAAAAAATAAAATAAAATAATAGTTCTTTAATAATAGATTCCATATGAACTTGTGACCAGAGACTTAAAAGTCATTGAATAGACCAACGATGTTTTCTTAACCGTTTAAATTACGTATTCATGTTATGATAAGTAATTTATAGCGATACCATGTTTAACCTAATTGCTCGGAAAGGATAATACTGAAGATTTCTTTATAAATGACTGAGCATTTGGACCTTTTATATTGATCAACTTGTAAAATATAACTATAAATCACACAAGTATGTCTTTAAATTGCTAAGTAATCACTAACGTTGAAAATGCAGTACAGTTGAAATAATATTGGTTTACAGTTAAATGAATAAATCTTAGTTGATTTACACTGTGGAAATAGGTAGTCGGGTTGTTTTCTACATTAGGAAAATGGTCTTTTTTTTCATTAACTAACAAAACTGAATTGAAAGCATTATTCATACTAGTAATCATGAAAGATCACAGTCCACTTTACATTAATATCAACAAATTAATTGCCTTGTTCTTTAATAATTCTCACTACGAAAATGTTAGTTTTTTGGAAGTTCTTTATAGTGTTAATCACCCTTGAATTATACAATTGTTGTAATTACAAATTTACATCAATTCTCTAAATTACTGAAATATGGTAGTCATATAATAATTATTTGAAAGTTACTAAAGTATTACTATATTATCATCACTGTTGGTTGGTCTATATTAGAGCATCATTTTTTTAATGGAAATCAACAGACAAAATTCTGATGACTACTGTAGGTCTAAAACAGGTTAAAAAATAAAACAATAGTCTGCAAGTTCCGAAGTACACACTGGAATTTCACAATATCTTTAATAGTATGGATATAAATATAAGAATAGTTTTCTTTTTTATGATGTACAGTAACTGTAGAAAATAATTTCTTTATTATATAATTTGCAAACTTTGTATTTAATTTCTAGCTTGTGAAATTATTTATAGCTTGTAAATATAATAATTAGTCTTGTTAAATCCTTGTCTGAGAATCATAATATGTGCCGGTGAATGTTACAATTTTTTATTGATATTACTATTCTAAAAATAATCTTAAAATATCAATCTAATTCCATCTCCGAATAATTTTAAAATGATACCAAGCCATGCTGAGCCTGTGTTTGCCATTTCGGTAGTTTAGAGGTCAACAAATTTGTTAATGGTTAAGTTCAAGCAAAGGTCATTATCTTTCTGCTTATTTTGTTTCGTCAATGCTGTGAAACCTATGAGAGAAAGTTATTGCTAACTGTATACATGCTCTAAGTACTACACACATGTTCTGTGAAAGAATTTTAACTGTTTTACCGTCATTTTTTGCGCATGGTATGCCATGCATTTTGCGGCAGAGATTGGAGCCTTTATGTTTATGATGCTGAAATCAATAATTAGAATATTACATATTTGTAACAAAGTTTGAATCTTAAGATCGGCAGGTGACCAGGCTCCTGTTAATAAACACAATAAATTTATATTACTGTAAAGGAAACCTTAAATATTAGCCTTCAAATGTTATTTATTGATTACAGTAGGATGAATGTATGTCAACATGCGCCATGATTCTGAGGTTATCAAGTACAATAAAAGTATCATTTTTAACACTACATATTTCATAATTAATATTTATTTTACTAAGAAACTATGATAATAAACAACTAACAATTGATAACAATATAAATATTAGTTAATAAATTATAATAATCGTGATGATAAAGACAAAGATGACCAGTTGACCAGGTCATTAGTACCAGTTGACTATCCCTGACTAGCAAAACTTGACCAATGCCAGCAACCAGGACCAATAGACTATTAACCAGAACCAATAAGCTATTAACCTGAAAAATCAATCAAAATACTTACCCGACCATAAATTAGAGAGACCAGAAGATCAACCAGGGCCATTAGGACCATCAACAAGGACATCAGACCATTAATCAGAATTGGCATTCTTATTCAAGCTAACTGTGCCCCAACCAAATGTAGGTAAAAATTTATTTGATGTTAGATTACTTTTTAAAAACTAAATAATTTCAGTTAAAAAAAATGCATATAATGATTTTTTTTAAATCATTTTTAATACAGAATTTTTTTATTGGGGCCATTTTTACCTACCTGTCATTTGGGGCCATTTTTACCTGGGCCATTTTTACCGGGGCCATTCTTTCCTGGGCCATTTTTTCCGGGGCCATTCTTACCGTACACCGCCCCAACCAACTGCAAGTCAAGCCATGTCTGACAGCTACGTCAATTCATCATCCACACTTTAAGAACATACATCAACCTTATCAACCTCATCATCATCATCATTGTAAATTGGCAATTAGAACTTTATAAAAAAAAAATTTCCATGGCGTTAAAATTCTCACTTGAATCGGTAACTCTGTGTTTACAACAATACCGATCAATTCTCACATGCATTCATGAAAACACAACTGCCATACAATTGCGATGAAGACCTGATCCACTACTTATACTACGTTTACAAAATTAGAAGTAGTGTTAGTAAAAAATGATCAGTTAATACTTAATCTCTGACGTAATCTTGGAAGAACATTCACATTCTTTTTGTTCATATTTTTGCACGCTCTAACTGTACAAGTGTTAAGAATGTAAGAAGTTAGTGTTAAAAATGTAAGAAGTTAATGATTTCTTATTGAATACTGCTTGTAATAATAGGCTTGTGGAAGATGTCTTTTTCTCAAGCTGTTTCTGAAAATCACTGATTCTAAATAAGGAAACTGATATTACCAGCAGTTGAGTTGTAATGGAAAATGGTCTCGTTGCAAATTGGTGAATTTACTTACAGCGTTCATTTAACGAAACATAGATATCTTTTCAATGACTCGGAATTGCCTCGCGTCAGTATTAATCACCGTATCAGCTTATACGGGTTAGCGTGGAAAATGGGCAGTTTTTACGAGTAAAAAACCTATTTCCAGACGTTGCATTGCATTTGCATCATTTCGACAAATGACTCTTTTCGATTGATAGAGTACAACTCCGGGTGTTGCCATGAGCAACGGTCAAAGTTCATGGGACATCAATTGTAAGAAGTTGCCCATCAAAAAATAAACGAAATTGATTTTATAATTGAATACACAAATGATACCCATCTTAGATTTAATTTTAGTCAAATTTGAGGAATGCAATAAAATATTTACAGTTTCTTTTGAGAGAACATTTGTATGTTCAGTAGTAGTAGACAATGTAACACATAAACATTAACTGTCAGGTTGGATGAATGATGCGGTAGTTACGTATAATCTTCTCCCATTCATACTATTAATCCTTTGTACTCAGCAGATCAGGATAAGCATGGAGGTTTCGTAAAATACCTAATACCAACGATTTATCTTACATTCAGACTTCAATGTTAGGATATTCTTCAGTCCCTTAGGCAAAACAAGAACTGCAAATGACTATGATAATTGGCGTTCATGGCCATTTCATATCTTCCATTTAGATGATTCCTCAACTAAAAAATCTCCAATGTACGAACTCTAATCTAATAAAGTCAATTTTCAATTTTGTCCCCCTTCCATCTGCTTAGCATGTTTTTCAAGATGCATAGTAATATTGTTGAATCAAATGCCTCGAAGGGTTAAAACATATTATCTAGACTGATCAGTAATATACGACTACCTAACTACACCATCGCACAATCACAGACAATTCCTTACTACTCTCTGTAAATATCATCGCATTGCTTTGGTATTATGCAGATGAATGCTACAGGCGAGATTTGAAAGCATACACCATCTTAATTTAACTCTTTCCTATTAAGATCGACTTGGGTAAACATTTTGATACTGGCAAAATCTATAAATCAATAGGGGGAGATCTGTTTGTGTAGTTTCATCATAGCTGGCGCTATTAATGAGCTTCGGTGTGAAATTGAATCCCATATGTTAAGGTGCGAGTATTTCTATGCACAGGCCTATCTAAACAATTAATTGCGTATTTATTATCGCCAAGGTGTATCCTCTTATAGCAATGACATACATTCAACAAAAGATGTATTTGCATCATGAATTAGGTCAACAATAGCCGTTTCCAAATCATAAATTAATTGTCTAACCATAGGGCAAGTTATCAAATGACCAAATTATTACCGATATTAATAATTAAATACGCATGATGATGTCGTGTCGCCAGCACTGAATGATACTTAGGAAACCGAGAACGCCTTATGCAATAATGCTCTATGATTGCATTAATTTAAGAGTAGTAACAGTAAATGCCGAGCTACTGTAGCATTGTTAGCAGACACGGCAAATGTGCAAGAAACGCTTCATTTTGTTAGTATGCCATGAATAAATCAATTAAATGCGTTTCAAAGGGTTCTAACCAACGAAATGAAAACTTTAGCACTTGTTTTTATGATGATGAAAGCTTTCCTGAATTTACACTGTGAATACTAAATACTAATTTCTTAAAAAACGAATAAGTTAGAAACATGTAGCCCAAGTACAACACACATTACTTACATTTTGTTTGTATTCTGATAATTTTTGTTTCAAATCAACTACTGTATATAGACAATGATAATTTAATAATTCCAGATTAAAAGCAAAACAAATATTTTTTTATATTTATCATAGCTACATCTATGAAATTATTATAAAATGGTATATAAAGACAGTCTATAATCAACTGTTTAGCGTTATTCAATTTAAAGTAAAGATTAACTCAGAATAACAAGACATCACAAATTTAAAATAAATTACAATTTAAAGACAAAAAATAAATATTTAACTAAATAGTAAATATTATAAAATTAACATCTGATTAAAGAACTGTAATTGAATTGAGGCCAGGAGCCATGTACTGTGAGCTTTCCATGTGTATGAAGAAAGTGCACCCTCTATAATTTACATTTTTTTTTCAACTATTAATTATTTCCTTATTGTTTAAGCTGTTAAATCTTTAATTCAAACCCAAAATATTTCAATTCATCATTCAAATATAATCTATTTCATATTTGGTTCACTATAGTCCTAAATTAAAATTTCCATTTAAATTGAAGCGGGAAGAGTGAAATAGGGTTATAATTAAAGTGCAGAGCATTTTGCAAGTAAATTATTCAAACCTTTAAGGAGGCTTCATTTACTCTTACCAATAAGGTACATCAATAATAAATTTTGATATGATTGTATAATACAATAAATTAGCATACTTTTAAAATAATAATCATAAATAAAAACAAATTAAAATTAATAATACATCCTTGACTTATAACCGCTATGATACGTTAACCTGTGGAATTAGAACTTGGATATCACTTCACTAATTGAGCCTTCACTATCAAATTCAGTTTCCATTTTACACAAACTCTCACAGCTGATTCAAAAGAAAACTAAGGGACACGGTACCTAGGCCTATTAATTCAATTTCACTGACATCTTCATCATGAATAGTACCTGATGGTCTGTAAACACTCTTAATTCGCTATCGTTCCCCAGGCTCTAAAATAGGATAATATCTACATCACCCTTTTACTAGGCTACATCTAGGAAGTTAGAGTTTCCTCTGCGCGGACTTGGCTGAGCCGCGAGCCAGCCCTGCTGCAAGTGATATCACACTACCAGGATGTGAATCATATATTGCTGTTCGTTGTGGCAGAGTTGACATGTTAAAGCAACCCCATCACGGCAACGAAATGTCATCGCATGTAAAGCGAACTGCAAGCTAACGTATAGAACTAAGTGGGACTATATACTCTGCACAATAATCTTAGATGCCGTGTGTCTTTTAACAAGCGTTAAAGATCATTATTTAAATGCGAGCCGACCAAAATAAACATGCGATAGTACCGAAAGTCACTTTAAGTAGAAACTCTAGTGTACTTTTCCCAGTGTGTCAGAGAACTTGGCAAGCATGCAAATTAGTCCCAATTTAACTTTACACGTGAACAAAGCTAGCTAAGATTCTTAAATTAAATAATGAACATTCGTTCTCGATCGTAAATATTGTTTCCTTAAAAATGAATCTGATTAATAACATCAGAGTCATAAACGATAGTTTATTTCTTAAATATTTTCCATAAGGAATAAAATCTCTCCATCTTCCCTTCCTCAATGGACTTCAGTATATTGTGAGTTTCTCTCACTGAAAGTACAACATTTTAATATCATTTCTGTGGAGTGTACAGTAACCACACACAGACCTTGGTTATGCAGTCTTCGTCATTATTATTCATCTATCTTTCCATCTTTTTGTTTTCTTCTTGAAAATCAAATGTGTGTTAAAATGTCTATGACACAAAGTGGGTACACTTGACATTCGAGTCACAGTAGAATCAATTGCACAACAGCAGCTAATTCACCAAATGTCATGAATCTGGTTTACTATTACTAGAGGCTTCGAGGGTCGGGGCAGTGAAGAATTAATATGTTTTCCTGTTGCCATGTATAGGCAACATTCAGTCACATTTAATGCTAAGATCCAGTGGACTTTGATCGCAATGTTATTAATTGTTCCTTAATAGTTACAAAACTATTTTTTACTCAATATTATCAAGTGTTGAAATAATTTTAATAACAAGGATGCAATTACCAGCAACATAAGACAAACTCTTGGATACTAGGAAGATTACATTTTCTGGGAAATGCATGCTGTATGTAGGCCTGTATGTCAGTGGCGTACCTAGAAGTCTTGAAATGTGGGGGCTGATGGGGTGTGGCGGTGAAGTGGGGGCTCAATATTGAGGGTGCTAATTTGCAAAATAAGGTGATTTTAGGTGATTCTTTACTACTTGACCGTGATTTTGGGGGAGGGGGAAACTGGGGGATGTGAGTAATTTTTTGGGAGACCCCCTCCCCGTATATACGCCACTGCTGTATGTATATGAAATGATTGCTTTAACAAACAAATAAACAAATAACTAATTACCATAGGTCTATTTGGTGAATGGAAAATTTAGCATTTGTTAAGTTTGCATCTTTTGA